GTTTGGGGGTTTTTGGGTTTTTGGGTTTAGGGGTTTAGGGGTTTAGGGTTTAGGGTTTGGGGGTTTAGGGTTTGGGGGTTTAGGGTTTAGGGGTTGAGGGGTTTAGGGTTTAGGGTTTAGGGTTTAGGGTTGCAGAGGCTCTCAGGACTTTTACATGTCCTAATCCACGGCCGAAAGCATTTTGCACCGAGATCCGGATCCGTGTAAATCTAAGGGGGTACACGGCTGAAGAATTACACAGGGTTGCTTACTATTCGTGGGTTCGTGAAACTACGAGTTACATACACTCGAAGCCTCTTGAGCGAGTCTCATGGGGCCCTAATATTGGGGCCTAAATAATTACAAATTTTGCTTTGGGGTTCCTGATTATAAAGCAAAGAATAATGGGCCTCAAGACCCTGTTCTAACTACCAACGCCCCAGTATTACCTGGCAGGCAACTCGCTCGTCCTGGGCGATGACTCTGCGCGTCGGGGAAAACGCTTGAGATGTGCGCCAGTGGTGCTGCATTCTAACACGACCATGAAGGTCACTTGCCTACCATGAAGCTTCTATTCCAATCCCGACTAAGGGGTTCAATAACCAGGGGTGTATACATGAACGACCCGACGCCACCCTAAACCCTAAACCCGGAACCAAGACAACACGCGGGCAAGAAGAGAGATTGATCTAAATCTTGTTTTGGATTTGCAGAGCTTTTGACTGACGTGTTAGAACACCATAGCCTGAAAGATTACTCATCGTATTCCTTAGGATTTCTTGCTATCTGTACAGTACTACACACACAACTTGCAGTTCAAATGATGCCGGCCCTAAACCAAAGGTCCAAAGCACTCGGGTGACCTGGCTGTTGTCCAGAGATTGGATAGTGGTTGCAGACCTACATGTAAATGTATATCCACATTCCCATATATATATATATGTTGAATATATAAATACATATATATATATATCAAAATACGCATATATATATATACATGTATATACTTTTATTTATTTATATATCTATTCATGTACTCACTCGTCTACAAAATAGCAGTCTTGTGAGCCCACGTCGATCGGGCTTTTGGGTCCGACGCACTGGCGATTCTTCAGAGAAGCTTGCTGCCGTGGTCCGCAGCCAATCTAGCCCTAAACCCCAAACCCCTAAACCCCGAAACCCTAAACCCCTAAACCCCTAAACCCTAAACCGTGGCTGTGCACAAATTTCCAGGGCGATGGGGCCGAAGCCCTAAACTCTAGACCTTAAGCCGTATTTGAGTAGATAACAACTACGAACATGCAGCCCTTCCTGGATGGCAGGTACGGTTTATGTGACTTACCGTTATTTCCATCCAATACTGTCATCACCACTACGTTTAGTAGTAGTGGTGGTGCGGTGGTAGTAGGAGCAACAGCAGGAGGAGGAGTAGGAGGAAGAGTAGATATAATTATATATGGGAAATTAATATAGCAGCAGAATCAGCGCAGCAGCAGCAGTGGCAGCAGCGGCACTGGTCGTTTGTAAATCCCATGGCCTCCCCCGATGGAGCTGGCGAATCTGTATACGGCGTTGGGCGTATCGGTCTCTGCAGGAGAAGCTGACATCCGTTCTGCCTATCGCCGGAGGGCGCTGGCAACGCATCCAGACAAAGGAGGCAGTGCAGAAGCTTTTAGGCTAGTTGTCAAAGCCTTCGAGACCTTGGCCGACCCCCGGCGGCGCACGGCTCATGATCGAGAACTCGAGCGTGCAACCTCGGCACCAGAGAGCAAGACGGAAGCGCCCGAGCGAGCGCCCCAGCCCAATAAGAGAAGCCGGCAACAGGGGCCGAGGGAGTCAACATCAGCGAAGGCCAAGCCCAAGCGTAGATGCGAGGCTCCGACAGGCGACCAGAGCACTGGTTCACCGCCGCCCGAGGAGATCCCCAAACTGGCAAAGGAGCTCGTGGGCCTTTCTCTGACAGTCATTCGCTCCCGCTTGAAAAAGATGGTGCTGGAAGTGCTTCGTGAACTGTTGACATTTCTTGAGACAACCGGTCTCCAAGCTGCAGCGGAGTTCGGTGAGGAAGAGGAGGAGAACTACGTATCGGCTTCCGAGGATGACGCGGAGAATGTTCTACCTCTGTGTGACGATGAGTTCCCGGATCCTCTTCGTGAAGATGACGTTGAGGGCGAAGCTAAGCTTCAATCCGACTGCAGGGGTCCTGGTCGAAGTGGTGTCAGGGGTGTAACTTTGCATCGTGGTCGTGGGTATAAGACATATCGAGCGAACGTGGGATTCAAGGGCATCATTGCATACACGCAGTACTGCAGTAATTTGGACACGATTATTGACTTTCACATGAGTCTGGTACAGATGCGTCATCGTTTTTTCAAGGAGTGCGAGTCTGGCAAACCCTTCGACCAAGCACTAGACCTTGCAACTGAGCAGCTGCATAGGGAAAGGGAAGGAGCCGATGCACCAATGATGAGGCTCTCGTTCCTGTGTGCTCGTGTGACAGGCGGTAGACAAGTAAGTCTGGATGAGATGAAGTTGGTGTGGCAAGCTTACCAAGAGGCTCTTGCTATGGGACGCGAAGAGAAGCTGACTCGCCTGCACCAGCGCGCACAGGAAAGGGCAGAAAGGAAGCAGGAAGTGGAGCAGGAACGAAGAGAATCAAAGCACACAGCCAAAGTACAGGCCCTGCGCACGGCTCTGCAGCATGAGCTCGAGATGCGCACACAGCGCAATCTGGAGAAACGGACGCAGCAAGCTTTTGGTGTGAAGACACTGCCCCAGGGCGTAGTGATCGCCAGCCTGCCCGGAGTCCCGCAGCTCAACATGTGCTTGTGCCTTGGCCCTTATTTGAGCTAGGTTCCCCTTTTGCCCTTTTTCGAGACATATTGGCAGAAAGTGCGGTATTAAGACAGAATGGTAAACAACACAGAGTTCTACATTGGTTCAACTTCGACCACAGCACTTGAAGGCCCCCCCGTGGTTACCTAGACTCAAGCTGACGCAGCATCCAATCTAAGGTTAGAAGTATGGGCCCCTAATATGGACCCTTAGGCCTTTCTAGGGACCCTTACTTGGAGGATCGGGGGACTTAGTAACTAGTTATTTTATAGACTTATACGTACCATAACCCAACTAGGATTCCTTTTAGGGTACTTATGACTCTACTTATTACCTACTTACTAAGTCCCCCGACCCTCCAAGTAAGGGTGCATATAGGGGATATAGCAGGTGTATAAAGATCCCAGGGTAAAGGCCCATACTAGGGGCCTATGGCTTCAACCTTGGATCCAAGGTGTGCACAGCTTCTGCTGAAGGATGGTTCTCTTTGTCAGGGCCCTCTCCGTGCGAGCCTGGTCCTGGCGAAGCGCGACGTCAAAGAACTTTCGGCCATCCGAGAGGCAAAGGGCGACGATGCGGTCAAGCAGGAGGCGTCCAGGAGAGATGCGGACGTCATGACTTCTTTCTTCATGACTGGTCGGCTGGCTTGACAGAAACATACTTCTGCATGTGCCGGGACCTGTTCTCATGAATCCGATAAACCCTGAACCCTAAAACCCTAAAGCCCCTAAACCTGAGCCCTGTCCCATCGGACTCATCTGCCTAAGCTCTCATGAGTTTCAGTCTGGAAAGCTGTAGGAAGAAGTATAGCAAGGGTTTAGGGGTTTTAGGGGTTTAGGGTTTAGTAGGGTTACAAACACGTACCTTCTCCTGTGTCGTCTACTTAAGGACGAGATGAACCCTTAAAGGAGTTAAGGTTCATGTACCATCTCGAGATTCATAGTGTAAGGGTATAGGCCCCATACTTAAAAGGGCCCTTTGGTCATTTGGTCCTATAGTTCCTGATCTGTAGACAAACCCCGAATGTCACGTTGAAGAAAGATCTTTTGAAGCATCTATACATATGTATATATATATATATACATATACCAATGGTTTTGATTTGTTCTTCAATGCAGCGGATTGCGAAGACCTTCATGCAAGTGTTTTAGACCATAAGTCTGAGTACTAAATGCATGTAGCTACATATTGCTGCGATTGCTTGCGTTAAATTCCATGAGGCTAGAGTCCCTTTTCCAGCACCAGAAAGAGAACGCCACTTGCACCATAAGCATCGCAAATTTGCTTTTCCTTTAGCCAACCTCCTCTATCCGAACTACCAACCCTAAACCTAGGGTTTAGGATTTCGAGTGCTGGACAGCTCCACGTACTGCAGTCTAAACCCTAAACCTTAAACCCTAAACCCTAAACCCTAAACTCTAAACCCTAAACCCTAAACCAAGTTTGAGTCAGCCCCCAAGTCTTAAAATATATTTTCCAAACTCTCCTAAATTCTCCATGAAAGCCTCAAGCCTAAACCTCAACCCTTATCCCCAAGCCCTAAACCCCAACACTCCAAAAGCCCTAAACCGCAAAGCCTCAAAACCCAAAAACCAAAGCCCCAAAACCCCAAAACCTATAAACCCCGAAACCCCAAAGCCCCAAAATCCACCAAAAACCCACAACCCCAACGCCCTAAAGACGACAGGCCCAAATCATGAGCGTGGACTTGGGGCACGAATTCTTCAAGGCCCTCTGTTTTGAAGGATGGGGAGGGGTTGGGGTTAGGGTAAACTCTAAATCCTAAAGCCTAAACCCTAAAGTTACATAGTGTAAGCCTGCAACATGGCAGGTTCCGACTGCAATGCAGAAAAGGGACCACTACACTTTACAAAAAAACCTAAATTTAGAGTGTAGGGTTTGGGGGTTTTAGGGGTTAGGGTTAGAGCCTTAGGGCCTTCTTCAGGCTTGTATAGTACTGTTGATGGTAGAAATCCTGCGTTACCTTAAGGACCCTAAACTATGGGAAGTATGGTATGTTTCTGCTTATGGGTAATGCAGGATGTATATCATCAACCCTAAACCCTAAACCCTAAACCGATCAACGGTAGTTCTACAAGGATGTGGGGGCTTCTATGAGTTTGGAAGGCCCCTGGAACCGATGAATCCCAAGACTCCAAGAGGTCCTGAAGCAATCACAACCTGAATCATCTTAAGGACCCCCTGACAATTCTAAGGTATGTTCCTCTTTTATGGTATATCAAACCCTGTAACAGCCACTATAAAACCCTCAAGAGGAGCCCTTAAAGAAGCACTAGTTTAACGTATACCGTATAATCCTTAATTGAGGGGTTCTGGAGTCTCTATTATAGGATCCTTAAGGGAGGGTGGCACAAGGGGGGAGGGTCCTAGGGAGCTTTAGGGAACCTAAGGGAGTAATGGGGGAGAATTGGGGATTACTGGGTTATATACCCCCCTTAGAACCCCCTCCCTTAAGGATTCCATAACTAAACCCAGCCGGCTCCGAGCCCTTGTGTCTTGCGTGTGTTTTTTTAAGTGTGGAACAAAACCTGGACCCATCCAAGACCCCTTTAATGGAGCCCGTATGGTCCTTAATAGTGAGTATTTAGGGTCTATTAGAGGGTAGTTGGGAGGTCTAGGTAGCTAGGACCGTAGTACCACAAGGTTTTGGATGTGTTTAGTGTTTTGTTATAGGACTTACCATTATAGGATGGGGTATATAACCCAATGAACCCTAAACCCTAAACCCTAAACCCTAAACCCTAAACCCTAAACCCTAAACCCTAAACCCTAATTCTCCCTAGTGCTCCCTAAGGTTCCCTTGGAGCCCCCTAAGGATTCCTTGCACCTTTCCCCCCTTGAACCACCCTCCCGTAAGGATCCCATAGTTACCAGGTTTCCTTTTAGAAGAGGT